ATAGATAGATAGATAGATAGATAGATAGATAGATAGATAGATAGATAAGGCAAAGGACTGTGAAAAGATGCCAGGCTTTGGTCACTAGAGTAATGAGGATGCAAACTGCAAAGTTTGCTGGGCATATCTATTGGGATATTGCTACTGGCTGAATTGTCTCCCCTAAAGTCTGCAGTTGGTTCTAATAATTTATAATTTGTATTTGTAGATAGGATCTTTTTTAAAAAAGCTGTTAAGGGTAATAAGGATTATGATGACAAATCCTTGGTTGTGAACTTGACAGTGTGTAGGATCAATTAAAACCCAAGTTGCTGAATAGAAAAAGAAAACCCTAAATTTTGGTGGCAGTCCAGATAAAAGGACATGGAAGAAAAAAAAAAAAACGCTTTTTGCTTGTTTGCCCTCTGTCTCACTGGCAAGTTCATTTATCCTGTTGCTTTGGCATCAGAACCGATTTCTTCTGGATCCCAACATAGACTGGATATCAGCAGCTCTCCAGGAATTCTTCAAGCCTCTGGAACCAGCTTGGGTTTGCTGAGACACCCAACCTCATGGATTGAAAAACTACTGGATTCTCCAATATGAGACGCTCATTGTTGGACAACTCAGATCACATCCTTTAAGACAGTTTAATAAATCCCATATATGTACACATAACCATTCTATCAGTTCTGTTCCTTTAGAGAACCCTGACTAATACAAGGATGTGGCTCAACTGGTAGAATGTGTGCCAAACATACCCAGAGCCTTGAGCCCCATTCTGAGAACCACATAAGTGGGTATGGTCATACATGCCTATAATCCCAGCACTCAGGAGGTACAGTCAAGAGGACCAGGAATTCATTCTCATTCTAGGCTACACAGAAAATTCAAGGCCAAGGGCTGTCTCAAGAAGGAGGAGGAGAAAGGGAAGAGCAATAGAGATGAAGAAGAGGAGAAAGAGGAGAAGCAGGAGGAGGATGAAGGGGAGGAAGTGAAGGAGGAAGAGGAAGTAGTTAAGATGGGGTCATTGGAGGCCCTGATCCAGTATGATCAGTGTCTTTTAAGAATAAGTTGGCTGTGGGCTAGAAAGATGACTCAGAGGTTAAGAGCACTGGCTATTCTTCCAAAGGGCCTGAGCTCAATTCCCAGCAACCACATGGTGGCTTATAACCATCTATAATGAGATCTGGTGCCCTCTTCTGGCCTGCAGGCAGAATACTGTGTAAATAACAAATAAATATCATCTAAAAAACAAGAGTAAGTTAGGACACTGACAGACACTGTCTACAGAAGTGAGGAAGCAGGATACCAGCACCAGCACCTTGATCTCAGAGCTTTGGTCACCAGAATAGTAAGACTGTCTGTGGTAATTTGTTATGTCAGTCTGGCAGGCTGATGCCAACCCTATAATAAAATAGTAGCAAATGTTGATGGATATGGAAAACTAGGGCCCTTCTATGCAGCTGATGGAATGTAAGATAGTGTGTTCACTTTGGGTAAAACAGTTTTAGCATTTTCTCTAAAAGTTAAGTGTTGGGCCTGGAGAGATGGCACAAATATTTAGACCATTTGATGCTCTTGGAGAAGGTCAGAGTTCAGTTGCCAGCACTCACATCGGAGGTTCACCACAGTTTCACTCTCCAGCATCTACCCAAGAGAGGTTACAGCCCTCATCTAACAAAGAGTTAGTCAGGAATGTTGTTACATTTCAAGCAACAGACACAATGGAGAACAACCCAGACACCTGTCTGTGGACAAACTGTCATTCCTGACTGCAGTAAGATTCCAGCCAACAACAAGATGAAGCTGTGGGAACAGCTGCCACCGTTCACCACCATTCGTGAGTGTAAGAGCTGGAGAAACATGGGTATCTACCAGAGACACCCTGTGTGAAGCCCGGCATACTCTCAACCAAACATCTGTCCAGTACCTTCTGCGTATTGCCATTACACAGACAACAGTAGCCAAGAACCACAAGGCTGGCCCTACGAAAGCTTCCGGCCCAGGAATTCAGACACTGACATCTGGGCGACCACCCTCTAGGTGAGTGGCCAATCTCAGCTGTCCTGACCCCAGCTTCTACTGGGAGATGTCAGAGGAAGGATCAGGCTGGAGGGGCAGCCAGAGCTCTGCTGCCGGTGTGCCTGCTCCCCTGCGGTGAAGTGATAAGTGAAGCTGAGAGCTGGTGTGGTGGATGACTTTGCATGCTGTGTGTGTCAGGGGTGTGAAATGTGCGTGAAGTATGTGAGATGGGGAGGGGTGAAGTGTGTATCAGGTATGCGAAATGTGTGCCCGGGGTGTGTGAGGTGTGTGCGCGTCAGACGTGTGACTGTGATTAGAGCAGTGCAGAGATCTGCGTGGGAGGGGGTATGAGGCCACCTGAGCCACAGTGGTCCCTCCTCCAGCCTGCATCTCCATGGCAACCACAGCCTCGCTCTCGGGCTCCAGCCCCTGGCCCGCCCCGCCTGGTGGCGAAGCGTCTGGAGCTGCATCCTCCGCAACCGCACCGCATCCCTGTCCTCCCGCGACTGCGTCCTGCAGCAACTGCCTGTGAGCCATTTACACGTTTCTCCTTTTGGAACGGGGACAAGGGGGCCAGAATGTGTGCGTGGGTGTGCAAGGGTGCAGGGATGTGAGAGGTGTGAGGAAGGGGGGGGCGGGTGCAAGAGTGTGTGAGTGCGTGCGAGTGGGATGTATGTGCGAGGATATGGGTGTAGGGGTTGAGAGTCTACGTGGGAGTGATTTGGCTGATCCGATGGCTGCCAGAGCCATGGAGCACAGCCATCTCCTTCCCGTGGCCTCCCACTAGAAGTCAGGCTGGCCCTGCTGGCTTAGGAGGAGGGTGGTCATTAGGCCTCTCGGGACAGTTGGGGGCAGCTCTACTTGAGGTGGCGTGGTCCCTAGACCTCGAGGTACGTGGAGAAACAGACCAGTGGCAGCCTGGGCATTGGGAAGAACTATGGCTGCTCAGCCTGCACAAACCCCATATGGAATTCCCTGTCCTGGGCATAGTAGGGCAGCAGGGGCAGTAGGACCCCTCAGTCCGTGGCGACCGCCGACCCCCTCCCTGTGGGCTGGCTCCACCTTTGCAGGTCCTGGAGAGCCAGGGGGAGCTGTGCACCCCTGGGGTGGCCCAGGGACAAAAAATTCTAGCTCCTGTTCAGGTCTGTCTGCTGTGGGGGTGGGGTGGAAGAAAGGAGAAAACAGCTGGATGGGGAGGTGAGGGTCAGCAGCAGGGGTATTGACCAGAGCATTGTTTAGCTGTCTGTGGACGGGAGGGCATGATCGGGGTCACCGCGTGAAGGTTCGAGAAGGGTGGGAGGCTGGGCAGCCACTTGTCTCAAACCACCTGCCGCAGCTCGGCTCCGGATGCTGGGCCACAGGTGGCTGGTGAGAGTTGGGAGCCACGAACAGCCGTGCCCCTCCTCTCCGTCCCCCTTTGCCTGGGCCCCACAGATCAACAACCCTTAAAACTGGAGGCAAACCAATCCCTAAAGGGCTTGGGCACAAGCAGACCAGGGTGGGCGCTGCGGCAGGAGATCACGAGTCCGCACCAATATGCACTTGTGTGTGACGCAGCATGAAAGGGTGCGTGTGAAAGCCAGCCTGAGACCGCTAGCCCAGCTTTTAGGGACTTTCAAATAAGAGTCTGCACCCACTATCATCTGTCCGTCAACATCTTGTCGGTGCACAAGCCTCAGATCGTGACCAGAGATGCCCCGCTTTGACCCCCCCGCCCTCCCTCACCTCTCACCCCGAGAGCACTGAGAATGGGGAACAAACCCTCGGGAGACGAAATGACAGAGTGGGATAGAGTGAAGGACCCGTGGGTGTTTCCCAATTCTAAAGCTCTATGACCCTTGTCATTTTCCCAACGGAGACCCAAAACCCAGGATGGAATCTTCTGGTATGCTGAAAGGAGGGGAGAGTTCTCCACACCGAGTGGTTTGCGATGTTCTGCCTGGCAACGGGAGGACTTGAAACTTGACAGGGAGCTAGAGGCCTGCCTCTGTTGCCATGGAAACCCGAGGTGACGCAAACTAGCCCTCCCAGCTGCGTCACCGAGGCAACCGGAGGAGGAGCTCCTGGGTAGAGGCTTGAATACTTGGGGAGGACGCCATCTTCTGTCGGTTTTGCTTTCTTCCCTGGCTCTTTTGCCTCCATGTATTACCTGGCCGGCCGTTTATATTCTTTACAATTTCCGGACCATCTTTATCACAACGCCCAGCGCGGTTGCCCGCAGACCATCCGATTGCCCAAGTGCTCAGGGTCAACCTAGAGCCAGCTCTTTCGCTAAGACGGGGTCCACCTTATAAAAAAGCTCTTTGTTGACACTGCTTGATCTCTGTCAAGCCTGGGCCAGGCACAAGGTCACCTGAACAATATGTGTCAAAAGAACCCGGGACCCAGAGGTCCTGCCTGAGGTGGGGGAGGGGATGTATGTGGACGCCGCTTCCTTCCCTCTTCTTAGTACCCATCCCTTTCTATCCCCTCCCCAGCCTTCCTTCTCTGCTTGGGAAGCTCTGCACCCAGCTGTCCCTGACAGTGGATGGCTTTGAAAAACCATCTCCTCTGTGTTCCTCAGGGCCTGCCACATCTATGTGGCTGGCCAGTAGCGAGGAAAAAGCAGTGGTCACTAACAGGTCTGGAGGGCCAACTGGACTTCTGAGGATGGCTGACCGAAATAACCACAACTTTTACCATCCTGGAAGCAAGAAGTCCAAAACCAGATTCCAGCAGAGCTGCGCTTCCTTTAAAACTGCAAGGAGAAGGTTTTGCTTCGCTCCTTCCAGTCTCTGCTGTCCTGAGCAGCCTTTGGCTAACTGCCTCAACACTCCGGCCTGCCACCGTCTGCAGAAGGCATTCCTCTTATGGCTAAATCCTCTTGATGTCCACAGTGGAATAATCCCTCTCCCTGTTCTAGTATGACCTCATCTTAACTCATTACAGCTGTAAGGACTGTTTCAAATAAAGTCTCTTTCACTGACACTAAGAGTCAAAAACTTGGGGGGGACATCATTCACACAACCACCCTCTTGTCACTTGGTGTTGCAAATACCTTTCAGTTTTGGTTTCTGTTTCTCCTCTTTGAAGGTCTTGATAGGCAAGGATTTTTAATGTTAACATGGAAGGTAATTTTATTAAGATTTCCTTCTAAGAGGATTGGTGAACTCTTTCTTCCTGAGACTAGAAATATTCCCCTGCATGGTCCCTGGAGGGCTTGGTTGTCTTGGTTGTCCTAGAACAATTTCTAGAACAAATTTCTATGTTCATTTGTGCATTATGTCTGCACCCACGTGTGCTCATTATGTGTGTTCAAATACGTATGTACTGACAGGATCAGCTTCAGTGTTCCAAGCACACTTTAATTACTACGATGCGGGCAGCTGTTAACAGGGGTCGGAATGTGTAGGATCTGTCAGATGGGTTTCTCTCTGTAAGGCACCAGCAGCCCCCAGTGTATACCAGTGACCAGGGCAGACACCCAGCACATGAACTTCCTTTGTCAAGACGTCATCTGTGTTCTCATCTTTCCACCTTTCTACATAAAATTTTGATGTTTCAAATTCATAAACAAATTTGTAAGAATTTTGATTGGAAGCTGTGGATTCTACAAATACAGGGAGAGGCATATAAGCATAAAGACCCTCAAAATCTGCACTGCAGCTTCCCTGCCTGGTGGAGGATTCAGATGTCCCTTGCTCCCCGCTTAATATTTCACGGCCTTCCGTACAGAACACCTGCGAGTCATTTCTGTCCTGTTCTTTGAAATTATTTAAATAGAATCTTAGCTGGTTTACACCTTAGGAGGCTGAGGCAGGATGATCTTGAGTTCAAGGCCAGCCTTGAACTGTACAGGGCTATATATTGAAACCCAACTTTATTTAAAAACAAAACAAAAAAAAATACAAAAGAAAACAAAAACAAAAACCTGGGGCTGGAGGGATAGCTCAGTGTTCGAGAGCGGAAAGGATGTAAGTTGTATTCCATGTACCCACATTGGGCAGCTCCCAGCTTCAGGTGGATCCGGCACCCCTGGCTTCTGGGGGCAACTGCCCACAAAGACACGCATAGAATAGTGCCTTCTTCTGACCTCTGCAAGTAGACGCCGACATACATGCAGGCAAAGCATAACATAAGTTACATACATAGACATATAATCAAAATAACAAAATTCAAAAATTTAATTCTTTTCTCAAAAAAAAATGCCACAGACACATAAAAATATATCTTTGAAACATATTTGAGAAACCCTCAAAGCCCACTCTCAGTGACACACTTCCTTTCCAGTAAGGCCACACCCCCTAATCCTTCTAATCGATTTTAAGCAGTGACACTCCCAGGTCACTAAGCACTCAAATATGCAAGTTTACAGAGGCCATTCTTATGCAAACCACCAGACTGGCCAAGGCCACCTACATCTCCACAATCTCAAAAACAAAAAACTAGGATTCAAGTTTGTGTGATGATGGACACCTGTAATCCTCAACTCAGGGGTCTGAGGCAGGAGGATCAGGAGTTCAAGGCCAGCCTGGGTTACATGAGACCCTGTCTCAAAAGACAAAACTAAACAAAAAGCTAACAAAACAGCAAAACTTCCATTCAGTAACTCTGTTGCCTTTTTAATCTAACCTTCAAGGAGTTTAGGAACAGTCCTCCCTCTTCTGCCCTCAGTGGGAAAGCAGGTTTTTTTTTTAACTGTGAGGGAACTTCAAGTCTTATCAAATTTAGCAGTCTTATCTGCTGAAATTGCCCAGACGTTTTCCTTCTTGCTGCTGTTAAGGTGAAAAGGAGATGGCTTTTAAAATTTTTATATTTATTTAGTTAGTTAGGTTTTTCCAAGACAGGGTTTCTCTGTGTAGCCCTAGCTGCCCTGGAATTCACTTTGTAGACCAAGCTGGCCTTAAACTGGAATTATGGATCCATGTGAGTCACCATCTGGATGCTAGAAACTGAACCCCAGTCCTCTGTAAAATCAGAAAGTGCTTTTAACTGCTGAGCCATCTCTCCCATCCCTTCTCATTTTGTTAAATTTAGATTCATTTTATTTTACGGTGTCAGAATGAATGTTTTGCCTGCACGTATGTATGTACGTGTATGTATGCACGTATGTATGTATGCTTGTGTGTCCAGTGCCTGCAGAGGTCAGAAGTCAGTATCAGATCCCTAGAACTGGCTGTATAGACCATTTTGAGCCACCATGTTGGTGCTGGAAACTGAACCCAGACCCTCTGCAAGAGCAACACATGCTCTTAACTGCTGAACCATCTCTCCAGCAGAGTCCTCCCCCCTCTGTGTGTGTGTAATGTGTGCCTGCCTATGTGTTCAGGTTCACTGAACCTGAACTTTGCACCTGTGCGTGCAAAGATCACTTGATGTTTTCCTCTATGACTGACTCTCCACCTTACTTTTTGAGACAGGGTCTCTCTCTGAACTTCAAGCTCTCCATTCTCAGCTATTCCGGCTAGCTGTCTGTTGAGCCACCAAATTCCATGTGTGTCTGCCCACTTCCTCGAAGCCCTGATGTTATAGATGCAAGCCACTGGACCAGCTTCTATGTGGGTGCTGGGGCTCAGTGCCAGGCCCTCATGTTTGCATGGCAAGCCCTTTACCAACTGAGCCGTCTCCCCAGCCCCATGGAAATGCTTTCTGAATTTCACACCCAGAATATACACAAACCTCCATGATCTTCTCCTATTTTGCTGAACTCAGCTTGTTCAAGTTTCACTTAGGGTCTCTCCTGCCTGTGGGTGGGACTGACCTGTAAGTCCTTCCGAGAACATGGGGGGGTGCCTCAGGAGCTGATGAGGGCTCCTCTGTTTTTTCTCTGGAAGTTTCATAACACATTGGCAGTGTTTCTTTTTAAAAAATGATTATATTGGCATGATATAGTAATGGGCTGCAGTACTACGTGAGGGGGGTTGTTTTGTTTTGTGGTGTTTTATTATACTTTGGAGACAGGGTCTCACTGTGCAATACTAGCTGGGCTATTATTATATACTCACTATATAGAGCAGGCTTGCCTGTCACTGCTTCCCATGTGCTAGGATTAAAAGCAAGTGCCAAAAAAAAAAAAAAAAAAAAAAAAAGCAAGTGCCACCATGCACAGTTTCTAGAAGGTTTTAAAGATGGAATGTTTTGTTTTCCAGCTGTCAGCGTGTAGAGGTCCTTCCCTCGCTAAGATCAGCCTCACGATGAGAGTATACACTCCTTGAAAAAAATATTTGTTATATTTATACTTATAAATCTCTGTGTGTATGTGCACGAAATGCACACAGAAGCTCGTGGAGGTCAGAAGAGGCAGCAGATGCCCTGGACCTAGAGTTATATATAGGAGGTTAGAAGGCCATCATTTATAGACGCTGGAAACCCAACCTCAGTGCCCTGTAAGAGTAGTGAGTGCTCTTAACTGCTGAGCCATCTCTCCAGCCTTGCATGTGCTCGCTCTTGACTTGCCCCAGTTAGTGGGACCCGCACCTCCTCCAGACTGCAATGACTGCCTTACTGGCAGGCTGGGGTCTCAGCTCTCCAAAAGGCTCGGTCTTCTTGCTCCATCAGGACTGTGTACTTCCATCATGTTCATTTCACATAGCTAATCAATGGCAGTTAATGTGGACATGTCCTATATTACATATGATACACATTTTCTGGTTTTTTGTCATTGTTTTATTTTGGGTTTTGGATTTGTTTGTTTGTTGTTTGCTGTGCTTTTTAAAGTATCAACAGCTAACAAATTCAGCTTGGTCTAGGCCTTCTGAATTTTTGGTAGCTGAGTCTGGGAGTCCAGTTCTCCCAACTGTTCCCTGGATCTTTTCCTCCCATTGGAATATGTGCCCATAAAGCACATTCCTGAACAGGCTAGCCAGAGGAATTCGTCTCAGTTCTATTTTGAAATATTCTCTGGACAGAGGCACCATCCTTGCACAGCTGAGAGATCAAGAAGAGATGAGAAGCTTTGAGATGACCTCCCAAAGCCCATCCCTAATTATTTTTTTTTTTTCCGAGAAAGGGTTTCTCTGTGTAACCATGGCTATTTTGGAACCTGCTCTGTAGACCAGGCTGGCCTTGAACTCAGAGACCTGCCTGCTTCTGCTGGGATTACAGGCATTTGTCACCACAGCCAGCTGGCTCCATCCCTAAATCTTACATGAGTCTTAGGCCATTCTGGGTCTTTACTCCAGAACCAGCTCTGTGGCTGTGCTCAGGATGACTTATCTTTGTTTCTAGGCTGGGACACAGCCCACCATCCACCATGGTGAAGCTAGGCTGTAGCTTCTCGGGGAAGTCAGGCAAGGAGTCAGGAGACCAAGATGGAGGAGCCATGGACAGTGTCCCTCTGATCAGCCCCCTGGATGTCAGCCAGCTTCAGCCATCATTCTCTGATCAGGTGAGTCGCCTGAGCTAGTGTAGGAGGCTTTCTCAGGCTTGCCTGGGGACCAAGAGGTGTGAGTGAGGTTTATGTAGGCATTGTCTCTTCCAAAGTGCACCCAGCAGAGACTGTGCCGTGCAGAAATCCAAACTAGCCACCAGCAAGCGTGACTTCCCAGTTAGCTCTCTCACATCAGAGCCCCCTCCCCCATCTGAAACAGAGTCAATTAACCACTCAGAATTTAAGCACTCAGACTGTGATGTAATCTAACAGGGGCCAGAAAGTTGCAGTTACCACTTGTGCTGGCTACTTTTATGTCAACCTGATGACAGTTATAGTGACCTGAGAGGAGAGAAACTCAATTGAGAAAGTGCTTCCACAAGATCAGGCTGTAGGCAATCTACAGAGCACCTTGTTTTCTTTCTTTCTTTTTCTTTTCTTTTTTTTAGACAGGTTTCTCTGTCCTAGACTCACTTTGTAGACCAGGCTTGCCTCGAACTCGCGGAGATCTGCTTGCCTCTGCCTCCCTGAGTCCTGGGATTACAGGTGTGTGCCACCTTGCTTGCAAGAGCATTTTCATAATTAGTGGCTAATGGGGGCAGACCAAGCCCACTGTGGGTGGCACCACTCCTTGGCTGGTGGTCCTGGGTTCTATAAGAAAGCAGGATGAGCAAGCCATGAGGAGCAAAGCCAGTAAGCAGCACTCCCCCATGGCCTCTGCGTCAGCTTCTGCCTCCAGGTTCCAGCCCTGCTTGAGTTCCTGTCCTGAATATATTTTTCAATGATAGACTACAATGCAGTTTTCAAGGGTAAACCAAATAAAATTTCCTTCCCATCTTGCTTTCGGCCATGGTGTTTCATCACAGTGATAGTACAACCACTCACGGGGCTTAGGTTAGGGCACAAAATAGGACTTCTTAGCCAGGTGACTGGGGGAGATTGAGCCTTCAGCAGAAGTCAGTGAGGAGAGAAGAGAAGCTCAAGGCTGGCCTAGCCTGGTCCTTGAGGAGCCCAAGGCAGCTCTCCGGTAATCCAGGTGAGCTTCAGCTGCATTTCCTGTAGCATCGGACTTTGTGGGCAGAGCTATCCTTTGCCTGTGTCTGAGCCCCATGTAGTTGGGGGCTCAAGATTCTGTAAGCTGTCAGAGAAGTCAGGACAGAGCTCCTGGAGGAGAAGAGCCAGCTTAGGGAGCAGCAGAAGGAAAAGTTCATGTAAGAACCAGCACCATGAATGAACGGCTGCTGACAGAGTAAGGAACTCTACCTGTGGCCTGACTAGGCCTTGAACATCTGTGGTCCTCATCAGACTCTCAGTGTCCACCTTCCTTCGGCTCCAGATTTGAGATACCTACAGCTCTACTAGCCACCAAACAGTACAGACTGATGGTCAGAACTGGCTCCTAACCCTCTCAGTTCTGGGTTGTCCCAGTCCCTGCCAGCGGTCCAGCAATGCCAAGGCCATCTCTTCCTTTAGGTGGTCATCAAAACACAGACAGAATATCAACTTACCTCTGGAGACCAGCCAAAGAAGTTTGGAGATTTGGAGGGTCAGAGGCTGGCCTGTGGCCACCCAGAGGAAGGACGTAAAGTAAGTATGGCACCCCTCACCATGGTAAGTTTTGGGGGGCGGGAGGTATAGATGAGCAGTTCAGGTCTGACTGGGTCCCACTTAGGCCTCCTAGGGATGAGAAGGGCCAGTTCTATTCAGATGTCACCTCTAGTGCTGGCAGGCCCCTTACCATCCATCCTTACCCAGTCTTCTGAACAGCCTGAGGTCCTAAGAGACACTTCCAGGGAAGCCCCTGTTTCCCAGCCCATCACTGTGTACCTCTTTGCAGGCTTTCTGTGGAATAGATATGAGCCTTATCTTTTATCTGGCAAATATCTCCTCTTTGTTTCCTTTGAACCATGTCAGTGATGGTTTTAGTAATCTTTTTTAGTTGACTATTTCTAATGCTTTTTCCATTTTCAGAAGCAACGCCTGCCCCTTTTCCAGAGTTTCTTCAGTGGGCGTGCCCCTTAAGGGTGCTGGGGCCTTGGTGCTCTTTGTTTGGGTTCACCCAGGGCAGTACTAATGCACCTGCCTCATTAGAAGACACACACACACACACACACACACACACACACACACACACACACAGGCACAATGCTCCCTGCATCCAGTACTCCTGCCGTGATGACCACCAACTTCTGTAGGGGGCACATGGGCAAGGCAAACCAGTTCCTATAGAACCGTCTGGGTCAATTGGCTGCACACAACTTAACTGGCTAAATACAATTTACCTGGTCATGGATGTTTCCAGAATCCCAGCAAAGCTGGGCCTGCAAAGAATGTTTCTTAGACCTCTGGTTGCGGAGCTGACCTGAAGAAGAAGACAAGATATAGGGGCAGTGGTAATATGCCCGGGCCCAGTCCTGAGGAGGCTGTTCGCCTCAGAGGGGCTGGCCCTAACCTCGCTCACCTGCGTTGTTTTGCTCCCTTTCCTCTGCCAGGTGCCTACTGCAAGGATGCTCGCCTTTGCCATGGCACTCCTGGGCTGTGTACTGATCATGTACAAGGCCATTTGGTATGACCAGTTCAGCTGCCCAGATGGCTTCCTGCTTCGGGTAAGCCTGAGCGACCAAGGAGCTGAGCAGGGACCGTAGAGACCACCATAGTCCTCCTATGATCTCCAGGCAATGCCAGGTCATGCAGGACTCTCTGTGGCAGTAACAAGGAAGGATGCTTCCCATTTCCCATCTCGGGGAAATTCCTTCTAAATGGCAAGGCTGTTCCTGTGTGATTGATCTCCTTACATTCCAGAACAGAGCGAGATTGTATCTTTTGAAAACTTCTGAGAAAATATTATTTTAGGGCTAGAGAAATGGTTCAGTAGAGGAAAGCACATGCTGTGTATATATATAAGGACCTGAGTTCAAGTTCCTAGAACCTGTGTAAAAAGCCAGATGTAGCCGGGCAGTGGTGGCAGAGGCAGGCAGATTTCTGTGAGTTCAAGGCCAGCCTGGTCTACAGAGTGAGTTCCAGGACAGCCAAGGCTACACAGAAACCCTGTCCTGAAAAACAAAAACAACAACGCAAAAAAAAATAAATAAATAAAATGCCTGTAACCCCAGCATTGAGGGGGGACAGAGACAGGACAGTTGTTGAGATTCGCTCCAGGTCAACTGGGAGACCCTGTCTCAAGAAGACCTCTTGTGGCCAACTGAAGCAGTTACACAAAGTAAAATTTAAAAAGCAGAAAAGACAGAGAAGGTGTTTTATCCAAACACAACGTAGGAGGTATAACTCAGGGACCCTCGGTGTCCTCCAGCTTCCTGAAAGGGGCCCTACCTGCATTTGGCAGGTGTCTTTATGGAAACTTCTTGTATTTTCCTTAGACTTTGAGAGGTTTGTTTCTTTTTATCTTCTTTTCTCTTCCTTCCTTCCTTCCTTCCTTCCTTCCTTCCTTCCTTCCTTCCTTCCTTCCTTCCTTCCTTCCTTCCTTTCTTTCTTTCTTTCTTTCTTTCTTTCTTTCTTTCTTTCTTTCTTTCTTTCTTTCTTCTCCTGAGGCAGGGTCTCACTGTGTAGCCCCAGCTGGCCTGGAACTCACAGAGATAGTTCCTCTACCTCCCAAGTGCTGGATTAAAGGCATGTATCACCTACTGGCCCACGTGAGAGGCTGTTTGTTTGTTTGTTTGTTTGTTTTTGAGACAGGGTTTCTCTGTGTAGCCCTGGCTGTCCTGGAACTCATTTTGTAGAGCAGGCTGGCCTGGGACTCACATTGATCTGCCTGCCTCTGCCTTCCAAGCGCTGGGATCAAAGGTGTGCGCCACCACACCAGGCTACGGTTATAATTTTTTAAAATACTTTTTTAAAGTGCTTCATATTTTAGAAATAAGGCCTTCTCTTTTCCTCTTAATTGTCTGGTCTCTGGAATGGAGTTCACAGTTACTGAAGTCTAGGTGTCCCCGCCTCCCCTCTTTGGGGGGGGGGGGAGGAGACATTTTAGCTTCTGTTGTTCACTATATAGCCCATACTAGCCTCCAACTCACATCCATCCTCCGGCCTCAGCCTTCCCACTGCTGGAATTAGAAACTTGCTCCACTAGGCCAGTCTGTGTGTTTTCTGCCTTTCCCACACAGCATGGCTCTAACAAAACTCCTCCCTAGCAGTCCCGACCCCCTTCTCCAAGGAGTCTCGGGCGCTGACCCTCTGACTGGAAGCCAAAGCCGCCTTTGTGGGCCTTTAATTGGGATCTTTCCTCCCTTCTTCTTTCACTCGGATCCCTGGTGCCCCTGCTGGTCCGGAATATACCTCCGCTGCAGCATAAGATATGCACCCCGCTGACCTTGGAGATGTATTACACCGAGATGGACCCCGAGCGCCACCGCAGCATCCTGGCAGCCATCGGCGCCTACCCGCTGAGCCGCAAGCATGGCACCGAGATGCCCGCCGCTTGGGGGAACGGCTACCGGGCCTCCAAGGAGGAGCACAAGGGCCCAACCCCAGCGGCGGTGGCTGTGTCCACTGCAGCTGCAGCGGGCACAGAGCCGTCAGGGAAGCCTCTGGCCATGAGGGAGAAAGAAGATCTGCAGAAGGCAGAGGGCGTGCCATCCCAGGCACCCCAGTGACTGTCGTGCCCCACCACTCGCTCTGCCAGTGACTAGGGTAAGTGGGTAAGTGTGTTCCGCCTAAACAGGGTCACAGGCTTGCTCAGGACCCTTCTGCCCTTTTCCTCCCGCCCTTCCCAGTATCCACGACTCCCCCCACCCCCGCCCCTTTCCCACATCCCTGACTTTTCCGCCAGGCCCAGAAACCTACCCTCACTCAAGGCTACCTCCCGGTCTGTGCCAGGGTTTGTCTTCTCTCCCAGCACACCAGCCTTCTACCTACCCCTCTCACCTTGACCCTTTTGTCTTCACAGCATCCCCTGCCAGCTGCTTTGACCTACACACCGCCTGATGCTTCTCCACCCAGTGATTGTGCTCCTGCCCCAAAGCGTCCCACTGAAGCCCCCTACCCCTGGTGAGCCTCTGGCTCTGTTGCTTTTCTTTAAGTAAAGAGCCAGTCTACCCAGGCCTTGGTTTCTCTTTTGTGAACAATTTCATTACCTGTGAGCCTAGGAGGATACCTGAAGACGCCTGCTTCTAAAGAAAAGGGATAGGTCTTACCCCTCCCCGCTTCAGCCGGGCCTGGGGCCAGTGGCCACAATGGAATAAGCCCCTCAGAGGAGTTAGGGTGACCCCTGTCTACCCCAGGTCTACACTCTGCTGTATCTAGCTGTCATCTACCTGGTTCTGGATCCTCTCCATGCAACAGAATTGCCCTGCTCCTCAGAGGGGAACTCCTTTTTGGCAGCCCCCACCATGAGGCCCTCATGCCGAACCTCGGCACAGACACCACCTAGGTAAGCAAAACGTCCAGGGCAGGCAGAGCCTCAACTTGTAAGCAACCCCTGCGGCTGGCCACCCCTTCATGAGAGTCAGGCTCAGGGACCTCCACGCTGGCCTCTAGCCACATATAATTTGGGGTCTCATACATCCGTAGCACCTGGAAACTTAGTACTCTCACACTCTGGATACTGTATTATAGTGGAAGCATGGCAGCTTCCTCCAGATAGGATATTTGAGGAAGAATGTGACATGGGGGTGACCCTCCCAGGTCACAAGGCCTCATTGATTTTAGCAGCTATGCTGTGGACGCTCAACTGACTTGTGGCACTTCACTGGGATTCCTTGTTTGGAAGTGAGGGTGGGGTCCTGCAGGTGCCAAGGCAAACAGTGGTCTGCCTGCGAAGAGGTGAGAATGAACTCGGTTTAGATTGACTTTGTCAACCCGGTTCAAACCTCAGGGAGTCTGATGCCAGGCATTTTATCACCAGCACTTTAAACACAGTATAATTGGGGGTGGGGGGTGGGTTTCCAGGTATAATACAATCCCTGGTGCACAAAGAAGTGTAAATTACGTCAAAATTGAGCTCAGAGTCCTTTCTTCCAAGAATTCACATTCTACCCGTGCTAGCTTAAGGGCCTAAGGAAGGATCTGGGCTGTTTGGCCATACAGACAGTGAAGAGCTCATTTGGGCTATTAGCCACCTCTGGTTCTGGTTTGGGGAGCTTCATATGCCCTGGTCCAACAGATGACACAGATCACCAGGCTATCAATAGCCTCCAGTTCCCAGCTTTCTGGATAGAAGAACTTCACATCCCGAACGTAGCCCCTTCGCTCCTCTCCTCTCCTCCCAGTCCCACCCTCCCTCCCTCTTTTCCCTCAGGTTTTACTTTTTTTTTTTTTTCCATTGAAGAAACAATCCTACCTGCTTAACATTCTTGTTTTTCCTGGTCATCTATGGGACCTTGATACTCCCAACACCCGTGATTCTGGAATGACCCTCACCCTATAAACTACTCCTGCGATCCCATGGTGCCGTAGCTTCACAGAAACGTAAAAAGCGAAAGCTATGGGCTGGAAAGATGACTCAACGGTTAAGAGCCATGGCTGCTCTTCTATGGGATCCAGGAACTTGGAGGTCCTATGGCTGAGGAGTGCTGGGATGTCCAATAAAGCCCTGGATCCTGTCTATTGGGCTCAGATCACTCTACCAGGATCAGGCTTGTAGTCTATTAGTGAGAGTGTTGTCATGACACAGTCCCCTGGGCCTAGAGTACCTTCCTCTGTATCTCACGAAAACCCCACTCACTGGATAAGGGAGGAGCCACTGAGGAGGCCTTGGCACCCACCTTACTGAAACAGTGGAATGGAATATCATGACTGGTTAGCTGGCCTTGACCATGCAAGAGAACCTGGGGGCCAGCAGCCTGGTGATGTATTTTCATCTGTCCCAGCACCCCCGAGTCCACAGGTCTAGCAACAAAAGATATTTTCCAGAGACTCAGTATGATGGGGCTCCTAGGGCTAGGGATGGGTCTGAGAAGCCCAAGCTCCCTCCTCTGCATCCTTCCCACATGCTCCAGTATGGTGTGCCCAAAATCCAGGGCTCTTCATTGGGTTCATGAATCCAAGGTTTGGGAGATGTAGACCTTCAGCACACAGCCCTGGGAATGGGTGCTAGTTGGAGTACAGGAAGAGCCAGGCAAAACTTCTGGTTACAGAGACAGAGGACATTGCTGTCCTTGTCACCAACAGAAAGAGGCGGTGCCTCCTGGAGCTTCTCATAGCCCAAATGAAAGATCAATGGCAGCGTAAAATGGCTTGTTTTACATGTTTCCCCTTTATTGGGTGTACAAATGTGTCAGTTCATGACTTAAAAAAAAAAATCTTGGTCCTTTGAAGTGACGGACCTTTGTTGTGTCCTTTTTGTCTGTCTGCCCTGTCTCCTGGCTACAAGGCTTTGGCTGCAGGGACAGGAATGTCATTGTAGTCCCTGACTGCCCATGGGGGACACAGAGACATGCTTGCATATGTGTACATGTATGTATGTGCATGCACGTATGCACCTCCCTAGGTGTGTACATATTTTAGTGTGCCAGTGCTTGTGTATGGAACACAGGGGCAGCCAAGCCCCTTTCCTCAGGCCCCACGTATCCTGGAGCTGAGCCTGGAATCAGAGTTCCAGAAGGCCATGGAACTCCTGTACTCTGGCCTACCTGGACTCTGGAGTGGAACTGTGGCCAGGCCAGGTGCTGCCCACATAGTATAGTATAGGATCTACCCCCTTAATGTCCTGGGTGCCCATTCTGCTGTCCGTAGGCCTGCCACTGGTGTAGATGGAAAGCCAGCTCCCTGGAGGAGCCAACACTCAACTGTGTGGCCTCTCTGATGCTTGCCACAAGATCCGACTGCTAAAGAGGGAGGCAGGTCTGAAGACCAGGTGGAGCCCAATGGAGTCTAGTGTGCCCTAGAGGTCTGAGATGTTGTTAGCTATCTCACAGCTCCTTGGAGCTCCCTCTACGTGTGTGTTTGGATTGAGGACATGCTTTAGACAGATCTGAGACCAAGGACTGGAGTCCCAGGAAAGGTTCATCATGGCCAAGGGGAGCATCGGTGCCCATCATCATCTGGCCTTGCTGATCTGGGATAATTCCAGCCCTTAAGTTACAGGAGCTCAGCTTATTACCCACAAGGACATGTCAGGCCACAGCTTTTGCCCAAATGCGAAGGCTCCTTTCTCCTTCTGCTCCTCACACCCTTGTCTGATTCTGCCCTCTTAAGGAAGGTCCTCCCCATGTAGTCTTAGCCCCAAAGCTGATGGCATTGAACCTCTTTACCAGCTCTCAGCAGGATCACAACATTCCCCTGTCATCTGATGTGTGCTGAGAACATCTTTCCAGTGCTGGACTTCAAATTTAGCTGGCTTCTAGGCTAAGGGTCTATCCCAGTGGTGGAGGGCTTGCTTAGCATGCTCGAGGCTTTGGCATCCACGCTCAGTCTCATAAGACAACAGCATTTGTTTATCTTTGAAAATCACTCTTCAACTGCTCTCAAAGATGTGCAAAATGGAGGCCCAGGAAAGAGGCCTCCAGGTCTCCCACTAACATCAAAGTTTCTTCCTTGAAGGGGCTGAAAAGAGAGTTCAGTGGTTAAGAGCTCCTGCTGCTCTTCCTGAGGAACAGAGCTCCATTCTCTGCAACCAAATGGCAGTTCACAACCATCTGTGGCTCCAGTCCCATGGGATCTCATGTCCTCAGCTGGCCTCAGGCCTCATCTGATGCCTCTGTGGGCATCGGGCATACACAGGCTTCACAGGGATAGATGCAGGCAAAATATCCATACACAAAAACTAAATAGGTAAAAAAGAAGTGAGTCCTGCCTTGGTGGAGGTTGGGAGCCAGAGTCAAGTGCATCTTCTCTAAAGACCCCAGCAGGAGCTAGAGGTGTAAACAAATCTCCTCTGTAATGGAAGTTTTGGTTTCTTTATAAACTCTGTTATGTTATGTAAACATGTTTTTCTTTTAATCCCAAGTGTGGGATTTTAGTTTGATCTTTAATTTGTCCACAGCTGATAATTGCCTCATGCAGTGGAGTGGTCTTTGCCAGATGGAATTAGTTGAATTCTGAGGATTCTAAGAGCTATAAATACAAGAGCCCAGAAGGAGAAGGCATGGTGGCTTGGAGGAGATGGGCGGACCGAGGGCTGTTTTCTGCATTTTCTGGTTTGCTGGTTACCTGGACTGCTGGAAGGGAGGCAGAGACTTTAAGGAAGCCCCCCCCCAATAAAGTAGAGTTTAGAAAACTAGTACTTACACTCTTTCTTCCTCATCTTGTCCCACACCTTCCCTGCAGGTACCAGAAGCTTAAGCTTGGCTTGGACAGATGGATTCTATGATGTCCACACCTGAAAACACATAATTCAAGCTGGGAGTGAAGCTCAGTGGTGTACAAGGCTCTGGGTTCACACATGCACATACACACACAAGGCAAAACAAGGAAGGGTATTCAGGCACACCCCACAGACAGCACAGCACCCCTCTGAGGAAGGGCAATTTTACCCATCTCCAGGAGGCGGCACTGCAGCCAGACTTCCAGGAAGTGATGACACTCAACTAAGATCTCATTTGCAGTGAATGGCAACACTGGAAAGAACACAGTCTCACTCCTGGGTGAGGATACCTTCCTTACCTGTCTGACCCAGTGGAAGCACTCAGCTGAAAACAAATTTAGGCCTCCCCCAAACCCCATTTTTTTTTCAAAAACTAGATGCTGTAGCCAGCTCTATGCAGACCCTCAATGTACAGGGGTTGCAATGCACAAGGATAGAGCGTATGGCAGAGTTCAGGAGTCATGTCATGACAGGAACACAGGCTTAAGCAGAATAGACAGGTTGCTGAACACCAGTGGCTACTCATCCATACCGGCCTGGTAACTGCAGACAGCCTTAGCCCACCCTCTCTCTGGGAGCCTGCCAGTCATGCTAAAAGCAGGGTGCCAACATATGGGACCCCAGTCTCCACACCCCACACCATGACAGCTCTTGACCACTCCCATACCTTGGTGCAGATAGGCACTGTCTGATCACCAAGAGGACTTAGCTAATAATGAAGAGCTTATTGGAAGGGCCTTTCTATGCAGGCTTACAGCTCCCATTCCCAGGCCTTGGGGTTACTACTCAATTCATGA